GNATTGTACAAAGAGATATTGTATGTATATTTTTTAACATAAACAAAGTGATGCATATCGCAAATATTGTTACTCAATTCAGATAACACCCACACTTATAAATTTGTGTGCGTTTTCACACATACACACACACACACACACACACACGTACATACACATACATACACACACATACATACATACATATATACATACATAACAAACATTGTACATACATACGTACATACATAAACAAGAATACACCTGGATTGCTTGAACACAGGTGATCTTTATTTCTTTGTCACCGCCTGTCGTCATCATCACTACTTGTCATCGCCTTTATCATCTTCATCATCATCATCATTATCATCTTCTTCTTTTTCCTTTTCCTCTTCCTCTTCATCAACTTCCCCATCTTCTTCACCTTCCTCCTGATAGTAATAATCCTCATCTTCATTTTTTTCATCATCATGATCATAATTATCCTACTCGTCATCATCATCATCATCTTCTTCTTCTTCGTCTTCACCATCTTTTTCCTCCTCCTCCTCACCATCATTATCGTCATCACACCTTAACCACAGGTCATTTTAATCACCATTAAAATGTTTGCCTTTATCATATGAATTAATGATCTCACCTATATATATATATATATATATATATATATACACACTACAATAATTTATTGTTTCAATCATTATTATATATTGCTATCATGAATGTTATTTAATAATCATTCATCGTCGTTAAATTTATATTGCAAAAATATATCTTGTTCATTCTTCACCTTAATTAATAATTACATTAATCAATTTAATACGTGTATTGTATAGTGTATATAACTTAGTTGTTATCATTCTTTTCTTCGTCGTCATCATCGTCTTCATCATCATCTAGACCACCATCATGATACAAATAGCAAAAGATGACTATCTTGCGATATATTTTGTAGTTGCCATGGTGAAATGTGCAGCGCTCTGAACGTCATTAAAGTGTAAATAGTTAAATAATAAGTAACTATTTATCATTTTCTTAACGAGTTGCACCATCATTATTATATTCATCATCATCATCATCATCATCATGGTCTTATCTTAAATATCATCATCAACATCATCGTCATCATCATATCA